GTCCAGTTCTGAGAACCTGTTCTGATAAAGTTCTGCCACCAAAAAGGTGATGACGGAGGAGACAGGACACTGGGGTTCGAGGAGAGGGAGATCGCAGGCAGAAACACGCATTACTACCCAGCCCAAATACATGTTTGTTCCTCTTTTTTCTTTCTTTTCTTTTTTAATAAATAAAGAAAAGAATTTGAAAGGCTATTTCCATGACCTAAGCTCCAAGGAGCTATTTAAGAACAACTGTAGTTGTTAGAAATGGGAACAAACTTAACTTCTGCAAGCCACGGTTTTGATGTCTGTAAGCTGAGGATTTCCTTGTAATTCCCGAGGGGGTAAAACTGTATGATAGAATGATGGAACTTTCCGGGTTCAGTCTGCCCACTCTCCAAGGTGGGCTTCATGGGCTGGTGTGGGGGTGGGGTGGCTCTCTGAGACACAGTGGTGAATGAGTGAGACACTTCTAACAATTCCTGGTGGGCCTCACGAGTTCTCAAAAGGATGGATAAAGCCTTCCTGCTGCTGCTTTCATGCTGAGTGCTGACACCAGCAGCCATTCCCACGCAGGGGTAATGAGTCACCGCCTTCCAGCCTCCAAGGCGGGCTGTCAACATCACTGAGGGGGGGAATGGGGCTGAGCAGCCGGGTACCCGGCTTCTAAGGTGATGAGGGCAGGAAGGCAGATCATATTCTCGCTAAGCTCCTACAGTAGTGAGGTGGACAGTGTTCCTCCCACATTGATTAGTAAATGTTCTGGACACCTGCTGAACTCAATTTAACTGCTGAGCAGGTCCATAGCACACCCAAATCTAGCCCCTCAATCAGGCGAAATCCTCAGCCAGCTAACTCTATTAAAATACAAATTAAAAAAAAATCAAGATGGGGATTTAGCTTAATTGTTAAAGTGCTTGCCCCAAAAGGGCGAGGACTTTGATCCCCAGGACTTGTGCTAAAATGCTGAGCTTGGCACAGTGCCTGGGAGGCAAAGATAACTCCTGGGGATGCTTGGCAGGCCAGGCTAAACTACTGGATGAGCGGCAGGCCAATAAAACCTGTCTCAAGTTGGCAGGTGTTCCTGGGGATACCTAGGCATGGGAAGCAGGAAAGTACCAGAGCAAACTGGAACACAGGCATCAGGGGTGCGCCTGCTCAAGCATCCAGTTCCTTTCCTGTTCTCTCTGTATTCAAGGCCATCATATTGTGGCTGTGACAGTGGGAGGGACCAGAAGTATTTAGGAACAGGCAGAAGCTTGGTGGGAGAGAAGTGCTAAGATAATTACAATAAACAGCCAAGTAAGTTGAGCATAACTGAAGCCAGCACTAGAGCTGGCACGCAGCTGAGGATGGAATCCATCATTGCCACCGTATGTGGTCACCTCTCCATTATTAGTGTGTGGAGCTGGCCTTTTCTGATGGCTTTGTGTCTTCAGTTGGCCACAAAAATGTTCTGTCTTTTGGTTTTTTTGAGACATGGTTTCTCTGTGTAGCCCTGGCTGTCCTAGACCTCACTCTGTAGACCAGGCTGGCCTCGAACTCAGAGACTCACCTGTCTCTGCCTCCCAAGTGCTGGGATTAAAGGTGTGCGCCACCACCGCCCACTACCTTTTAGGTTCTATAGCGTGCTTAAAGACAGTTTCACTGAAGGGCAAAGGAGGGCTGCTTGGAGCAGCCTCATAAGTGTCCCCATGTGAGTGTAGGCGGTGTTTTGTGATTGGCCTGCTTTGGTGGAGTTAAGCTAGCAATTCTGTTAGATAAGCTTGCGGTTTGGTACAGAACCCTATACTGTTCCTATCTTATGCACCTGTATGTGTCTATACACATGTTTCTACTTCTCTGGCTGTGGTGGAGAATCTTCGGAGTCTACGATCGAAGAACAGACATGGATGACACCCTGTGTATTAAGCCAACACGGTTGATGAAGTGTAACTACTCATATATTTTTTCCCCCTTCTTTTCAAAAGGCTCGTTTTTCTCCCCTGCTCTACTGCCAAAGCCAAGAACTGCCTAACGGTTCTGTCAGGGAAGCTCCAGCTCCAGTCCCTGCTCCTCTGGAGGCCACGAGCTCAGATGCCACAGAGGATGCGGGAGATTACAAGCCCAAGCTCTGTAGGCTGATCAAAGTGGACGACAGCTATGGCTTCCACCTTAACACCATTCAGGGTCGGCCAGGCTCCTTTGTCAAAGAGGTACGGTAACTGGTCCTGGCAGCGGGTAGACACGGCCAGTTAGGGTCAGCACATCCAGGGCAAGCCATGAGTTGACACGCTAGTTGCGGTCACATTCCCCACCTCGGGGAGTGCGACCTGTCTGCTTTTGTGCATGTATCAAGGTGCCCGTACCCTGCAGGAGTGGCAGTGAGACCACTGCAGCTCTCAAGTTAGGGAGGGCAGTTATGATTCATGGTGGTGTGACCCTGACAGGTCTCTTGGTGGGTGGGAGATTGCAGCGGGTGGGAGGCAGACAGATGCATGCACCGTGCGGAGAGAGCTTGCGTGGAGAGTTGATTTAGTAGGTACTGGGAGAGGTTTAACGGTAAGGGAATTATGGAAGGAAGAGAGAAAAAGAGATAGAGAGAGACAGAGGAAAGAAGGGGGTAAGGGAGAGGCACAGATCAGCTTGCCTTGGCAGGGAAAGGGGGAGATTGGGGTAGGCAGAGTTTATCTCTTAAAGGGACAGGCTATCCATGTGACAGGCCAGGCCAGCAGATTTATAATTATAACAGGGGCCTAATGCCTTCAACCCAAAGATGTTCAGTATGGTGCTCGACCAGTGTGGAGTAGAGGCGACATCCTCACCCATGTTTGGAACTGACACTCACAGGTGCAGAAGGGTGGCCCGGCTGACAAGGCTGGGCTGGAGGATGAGGACATCATCATTGAAGTGAATGGGGAGAGTGTGCAAGACGAGCCCTACGAGAGGGTGGTGGACAGGATCAAGGGCAGCAGCGAGCACATCACCCTCTTGGTCTGTGGAAAGAAGGCCTACGACTACTTCCGAGCTAAGAAAATTCCCATCGTTTCCTCCATGGCTGACCCCCTGGTTGCTAGCCCTGGTGGCGAAGGGGAAACGGCGGCGGCAGCGAAGTCCCAGCCTGACTCCCACACAGCAAAAGAGCGAGTGAGTGGTGACCTGCTTCCCCGGGACACAGTCCCCCAAAGTAACACGGGGTAGTCAACCTGTCAGGGTTCTGTGAGGAGAGGAGGCTGTACGAGGACACATCTGTTGTCCTCTTAGACATGTGCCCTCAGTATGGAGCGCAGGCTGGTCTAGAACTCAGTCTCCTTGTCTTGGCCTCCCGTGTGCTGGGATTGTGGCTTGTGAAGTTATTTTCTGGGCATGCGGTTGGCAAGCCATTGATGAAGCTTTTATCAGGAACATGACAGAGACCACCAAAAGAACCCGACTGGATTCTGTAGAGCCAGCTCTGGCTCTGCCACACACCGGGATTTCCTGGCCCTGTGCTTTAGCTTTATAGAACAGGGCTATGTGTACAGCCGTTTTCAGAATGAAGTGTTCGGACAGCATCTGGCTCACAGCGAGTGAAAACAGAGGTGGCTGGGGCAGTATTAAGTGGCAGGATTTACAATTATTTTTGTCAGAATTTTTTCTAGTCAATTTTTTTCCTTTATAGATGAACTTGGGATTTAAAAATGAACTGACATCCAAGTTTATAAAAGGAAATTTATGGTAGTCGGGCTTCTGATGAAAATCTCTCTGCGCTGTCCTTCCCACTGTATTATTCTACTGATTGGTACTGTCAATCAAAGCACTATAGTGTCCTATAGAAAACCGGTTGCATGTATACATAGATATAAACACACACACACACACACACACACACATATATATGACAACGACTTTGCACTGAATAGTAACAGTTTGCATTAAAAAGGAAGCCAAGAATAGATGCCAACTCATGCCTTCTAGAAGTGCACGGCTCTCCTCCCTGCCTTAGACATGCAGTCTAGCGCACGCCACGCTTCCCTGCTGCCCACACCCTCAGGTGTAAACCCTTGGTTTTCTCTTACACAGACTTACAGCACAGCCTCGCTTTCTTCTTCCAATTCTGAAGACACAGAGATGTGATGAGAAGGAATGATGGTTTTGGCTGCCGGATTTCTTCCACGTCTAGGAACTGCCTTTCCAAGGAAGGAGCTCTCTGCTGACCCAGTTAGACCTTTGGAATCACTTGTCCCATGTGACTGTCTGCTGTTGGAAGGGCTGCTCAACCTAGCTAGAGGGAGCCGCCAGGTTCTTTATATGTGAAATCTTCCAAAGCGCAAATTCCCACCGCTGTTGATGAAAGCTCTTCTGTATGCTTCTTGAGCACTGGAGCTATTCGTTTGTGTGTGAGTGCGGCTAATTAAAGGGTCAAGCAGACGTCCCGTGAGAGGCATGCTTCTGTAGCAATGCTGTGCCTAAGCAGCTTTAGATTAGCAAAGTGCTATTCGAGTTGCTTGTGACTTCCCTGCTGGCTAACAGGATCTGAATTTGAACAATGCCTTTGTTCTCTATAAACATTTCATGCTTTTCCATTTGCTTCTAGAAGCCCCAAATGGCAAAATAAATGCTATGACCTTAGTAATAAAAGGAGACTTCCAGGCAATACATTTCAGAATTGTCTTATACTGCATTGAGTATTAAAACACCACCACCTTCCTTCTATAAACGGAGAGCTTGTGTTCCAGGACAGGACAGGGCTTGTTGCAGCTCACAGCAGCCCAGTGTCTCATCCCACAAGAGAGGAAAGGACCCGAGACCCCACCACTGATCAGTGTAGGACAGCCACGCTTCACTGATCAGTGTAGGACAGCCACGCTTCACTGATTTAAAGGAAAATAACACATGGCACACCTGAATCTTCTGGTAAAATTCCTTTTCCAGAAAAGAACAGACAATCTTTGGGTATTTTTTTTCTGGGTAAAGTCGGGTGGGGAGGGAGAGACGTATTCACATTAGACCACAATAACACAGCACACCAAGCTGGGACTGAAAAGTAAACCCAAGGCCACAGTGTTACAAACTCTGATTTTACTAAATTTTTCAAAGGAAGGCACCTGAGGAGCACCAGGGTCTCCTCCGGCCCTGACCCTCACCCTCCTCATTCACACAGCCTCAGACCCACACAGGCTCCCTGCCGAATGCTGTGGCGGGGGAGGGGGGATTGCTCCCTCCTGTACCTCAGTCTAAGTCACTTAGGACTCCAGGATCGCAGGAGGATGGCGCAGGAGGATGGCGCAGGAGGACGGCGTGTGCTGGAGGCAGACTAAACCGCCCCAGCAGCTCCTCTGCGTAAAGGATTTAAGACCCTGGTAGCGCCCACTGTGTCTCCTTTTCTCACAGTTTGCAGTGGGTCTCAGTTCAGGGTGCCATATGTTTCTCTGGTGCCTGCTTGTGAGCCAGATAGAGGAACAGGATACTGGAGAGGGCACTGACGAGGAAGATGACATCAAACCAGCGGTGATAGAAGTTGAACTGGAGTTCTCCCAGGACTTCTGTGATTATGGTGCGGTATTCTGGGGGCATGCTCATTCGGATCAGCAGCACGGAAGAGACGAAGTACATGCCCTGCAAAGTTGAGTCAATTAATTCAGAAGCTACTCGGTGTTTCCAGGGACAAGCCAGAGCAAACTTTAATACTGTTTTTAAAATTTACTGGATTTGGAGAGACTACAGTGGTTAAGACTGGCTGTTTTTCAGAGGATCTTGGTTTGATTCCTAGTACCCGCCCGGGGCGGCTCACCATCTGTACCTCTAGTCCAAGGGGCCTGAACGCCCTCTTCTGGCTTCTATGGGCACCAGGCACACACATGATATATATACATACATGTAGGCAAAACACCCATATACATAAATGAATGAAAATTCTTAAATGATTTGTGTATACAGGTGTGCGTCTTCCTCATGTGCACGTGGGTGTGTGGGTATGTGTCTTCCTCGTGTGCACATAGGTGTGTGGGTTTGCGTCTTCCTCAGTGTGTACATAGGTGTGTGGGTGTGTGTCTTCCTCGTGTGCACATAGGTGTGTGGGTGTGCGTCTTCCTCGTGTGCACATAGGTGTGTGGGTGTGCGTCTTCCTCAGTGTGTACATAGGTGTGTGGGTGTGCATCTTCCTCGTGTGCATCTGATCAGAGGACAACTTGCCAGAGTTGGTTCTCCTTCTACCACGTGGGTCTGGGTACAGAACTCAGGTCATCAGGCCTGTAGGCAACCATGACGACCCACTACTGAACAAGCCATCGTACAGGCCCAACTGAGACAGTTTAAACATTTCTGAGCTGGAGATGGCTCAGCGGTGACATGTGCACCTGCTTTTGCAGATAACCGAAGTATGGTTCCTAGCACACACGTCAGGTGCCTTACAACTGCCTAGTGCAACTGGACTAAGGTATACATACAAATACATATCCTCCCCAACAGAACAAAACCCACACATTTCTAAGCTGGCTGTGGTGGTGCATGTCTGAAATCCCAGCACTTGGGAAGGAGAAACAGATCAGGAGTTCAAGACTACCCTTCACTATGTAGAAGACTTGAGGCCAGCAAGGACTACACGAGACTGTCTCAAAGACCCTCCCCAACAAAATCACATTTCTGGCATTTTACAGTCCTGGGCACACAGGAAGATCAGTACACTCACCATTATCTGTGCTAACAGCAGGACGATGACGTTGGAGGACTTACTGCTGGAGATGGCATAGAAGAACTGTGGAGAAAGGGAGGGGTGCATGAACAGCAAGCTACACGGTTAGCCTTTAATAGCTTCTGTTTCCCGGCACAAAAACACAGCCAGTTCAGAGGTTAAGGCTACAGAGAGGGACTAAAATACCAGAGAAACCAGTTTCCCCCTGAGATGTTTGGTGGTTTTATGTGTGAAACAACAAAGTAATCCTCACTGTTACATCACAACACTAAAGCACAGTTTTGGGCCACTCCAAGCACGCAGCTGCTGAGCTCTCCTTGGACTGTGCTAGATCCTGGGAGTCCCTTCCTCTCAGTTCTCTCTCAGTGTTTGGACCTTCTACCAGAGAGGATCCACTTCTCACCACCACGTGGTCTTCCTTATGTTGCTCAGAAAAGAGCTGAGTGTTCTTATCTTCCTCACCGTGACTTCCAATCATCTAACCCTGAGTGTCTGACTGGCGTTTTCCCTAAGTACCTGCTGAATACCATGTGCCAGGTTTGGCTATGGGTGATGACAGCTCTAAGGGATCCCTGATCTCTATGATCGCTGGAATGGCCTGTGGCTGGCAGATGACGCCTTACCTTACCCACACCTTGCAGACAAGTTTAATAGTCTCTTTATTTTTCTGGATGTCCTCTGAGTTGTTCAAGACTAGTGTTCAGGACCTAACTCAGAAGGCATGTAATTAAATAAGGATCTAAACACTGTGGTGCACCATACCTTGGTCAGAGTGATCAGCAGTCCTCGGATGGATGTGACAATGATTATTCCAACCAGAATGAAGGAAATATGCTGGGACCAGAACTTGACCTGCCATCAGAACAGGAAGTGCAGCAGGCCATTAGTTCCAGGCACAGCCGAGAGCCATGTAAACTCTGATTACTTGTGTGACCATGAGAATGAATTCCATTAGGTTCCTCTTGGCTTGTTCTGAAGTAAATACTTACAGGTGGTAGGTGCTTATGGGAAGACTGCATTGGATCCCTTTATTAGCAGGCTTAGTCAAGTCTTAAGGGTACAGAGAAGCGAGGGAAAAAAAAAACACTAATCAGAAACCCCACAGTGATGAGAGGGTCCTACTGTGAGGCCCACAGTGATGAGAGGGTCCTACTGTGAGGCCCACAGTGATGAGAGGGTCCTACTGTGAGGTGTGCAGGAGGGATTACAGGAAATGAACTCAGTAGCACCCTGATTGTTTTCAGTGCTGTGAATGAAGCAGTGCTGATCACACAAGGCTTCCAGGAGTAAAGAGCAAAGACACTATAGTAAGACTACACAGGTAGGTATTCTTAGAGAGTTTCACTTGAACCACACAATGGAGCTCTTTTTCTTGTACTGCTTGACAGGGAGAAGCAGTTTTGGGAACTGTTCTTGACTCTGTTCTCTGGTATATGAGGCCGAGGCCCTTCCTATGTGTAAAAGGCTTGTTATTATTTGAAAGCAAGAACATGGTGGAGTAGACAAAATCAGGCTGGAACAGATAAGTGAGCAGCCTCAGAGCGCCTACTTCTCAAAGTGTAGCCCAGGAAAGACAACATTTGTTTCTGAGACAGGATTTCACTGTGTAGTCTTGCCTAGCCTAGCCCAGAACTTGCTATGTAGACCGGGTCGGCCTTGAATTCAGAGATTTACCTGCTCTGCCTCCCTAGTGCCACCGCTTCCAGCAAGTCTGGAAAGCCAAGTGAAATTTAAATGAGAAAATCACACAGGAATCAGTAATAAGGCACATGGACCACTGGAATTCCATATGACCCGAAGGAAGAGATTCCTTGGTCTGTCACAAGCAGAAAGAATACTGTCACAAGTAGTTAAGCTACTGTTAAAAATGTGTTCTTTAGTGGTTGGGGAAATGGCTCAGTGGGTCAGGGTGCTTGCTGTAACAGCAACAGGACTTGAGCTGAAATTCCAAACTCTTGTGTAAGAGCCAGGGATGGCTGTGTGTGTCTTAACAACAGCACTGGGAGTCAGGGACAGGAAGACCCTGTACAGCTGAAATGTCAAGCCCCAGTTCAGTCAGGGAGGACTAGCCACAGCATCCTCCTCTGCCCCAGTGAGGGCTGTGAATCTGCAGCCAACTTGTGCTACACAGGGAGACCCTCCCTAAAAGGAACAAAAGCATCCTTGGCGTTGCTTCTTCAGGACTGCAGCTCAGTGTGCTTGCTCATTTTATCTAGCAGCACCTGAGATGAGGGACGTGCTATGCGGAGATGGAGGACCAACGGCAACACACACCCCTCATCCAGGCTCAGAGGAAGCTTAGCAGTCCACACAGGACAACGAAATGTGACAGCGGTCTTACTGTCAGCCTGAATGATGTCATCTAGAAACCACGTTATACTATGAATAAAGACACTGAACTTGAGATAAGGTGTGTGTATGCCTGGTCTTATGAAATAGGGAGAAAAGATAAAAAAAAAATTCCCTAACTTTGTGCATAGGTAACAATTTGACTTTAGTCCAAGGTCCACCTGACTAGACTGACAAAGGTCGCTTCTTACAGTAGAAACCACTTCAGCACTATTTCAGCACACTAATTAGCTATTAATTTTCTACCAGGAGATCAAAGGTGAGTTGAGAGCGTGGAGAGCTCGCTGAGTATCACAGAAAAGATCTGAATACTTGGTGGAGAGAAACCGGCAAAGTGGTAGCTGGCTGTGGGCAGGCTGTGGCTGGCCGAGGGCAGGCCGAGGAGGCCCTGTAGCAGCAGGTGGCACCCAGGTCACTGTTATGGCTTTACAGTAGAAAGCTAAATCGGACCATTTACAAATGTGCAAGGTGAGCTGTCAACACACAGACAGAAGGACCCAAGTTCAGGGGTTAAAACCCGAGTGTCAAGCTACGGCTGGATGGAGCAGCAGGAACCAAACCAGGGTCTAGAACAGCTCTTACGTCAAATTGGATCCCCAGGTAATTCACGGTGATCTCAATGCCTCTGGTGACAGGGTCAGTCTTCCCAACTCGATCAAGAACAATATTGATGGTTGCCTGCAGAGACAGAGCTGTATGTCAGAAGACCTTTCACCACTGTCTCAGAGCGACACAAGCCCCGAAGGTCCAGGGAGCAAAGTCTCTTGCCACCAAGCCTGACCACTTAAACTTGATCCCTGGGATTCACATGGTGGGAGCGAGAGCTGACGCCTGTTAGTTGTCCTCTGATCACCACACATGTCCATGTCACATGTGCTCTAACACACACACACAAATATAATTTAAAGGTTTTTAATAAAAAATATTCCACATGAATTAATGAACATATCTTACAGGTTGATGTTTCCTAAAACACATTTTAATCCTTCTTCCAATCTAATGCATGAGCAGGAAATCTATTTTGTCTGCTCACACACAGGCAAATGAGTCTCTAGCCCATATTTATTTTCTGTAAAGAGTCAGGGGCAATAAAGCACATGTGTTCTATGATTCCGAAGTCAGAAGCTAACGTCTGGCAAACGAAGTTAGAGTAAGAACCAAGCACTGCCAGGGTCGTTTGCTGAGGCAATTCTGTGAGTGCTCTCAGAGCTACGGCAGGAGGAGCACAGCTGTGAGGGACACCAGCTGACAGACGAGAGCGCGCGGCTGACAGACACCTGATTCATCCCAGCTGCGGCAGCTGAAAGACCAGGAGGGCAGGAAGAGGTGGGACAGATGCCAAGCCAAGCGCCACGTTAAACCCAACCACCAACAACACCACTAAACGTAAGGAGTCTAAATTGTGGGTCAGCACACTCAACCCCTGTAGCATGACAGCAGCCATGACAGTAAAGCACTGGGCTTGGCTCTGTGCCAATATAATCTTATTTACAAAGGCAAAGCAGAGCTGGGTTTGCCCGAGGACCATAGACTGTTAATCTCTGGTTTAAACCCACCAGTGAAATGCCAGACGGTCAAATTGAATTAAAAAAAAAAAATCAAAACCTGATCCCTGTATATGTCGTCCATAAGAAACTCACTTTAAATATGAAGACACAATTAGGTCAAAGGTAAAAGGATGGGAGGAGATACATCCCAGCAGCACCAGTTCAAAGAAGGCAGTGTCTCTGTTAATATCACATAAGGACTTCACAGCAGAAACGTTGCCAGGGTGGTGTCAGAAGGGTCATTTTATAATCATGTGGTAGTGCCCTTGCACACTGCGTAGGTGTGCGAAGTTAAATCCTCTAAACCAAAGACTTAACTGTGTGACTCTGGTCATAAAATACCAGCAGAGGGGAACCCAACACAACCGGGGCACGGGGACTGGAGCAGACATGCCGCCTGACTGCTAGTGAACCTGGGACTTCTTTCGGGTTTAATAAAAATGTTCAGTACTTGACTGAGGTAATGGTTCTGGTTTGGTAGAAATGTTCAAAGCTGACTATGGTGATAGTTGTACAACTCTGAAAACATCAACAGCTACCGGGTTACACTTGCTTCTCAGGCTTGACAACATGAGTTCAATCCCCAGACCCGCACAGAGGTGGGAAGAGAGGACGGCCTCAAAGTTGTCCTCTGACCTCCACAGGTGCGCCTGGGCAAGCAACTCCCTTAAGAACGAAGTTTAAAAGTGAAGCATGTGTCTGTCACATTAGTCAGATGCCCCACCCTAATGTGTCTGCCTAAGAGAAAAGAGTGCATATGTCCACACACAGGCTTGTATGTGTGTGTTCACGGCACCACATGTGACACCCCCAAATGGGAAACAACCAGATATCTACTATTGGAGAATGGGTTTGCAAACTGTGGCACAGCCACACCACAGAATCCTGCTCAGCAGTAAGAAGGAACAAATTACTGTTCACACAGTAAACTGCCATATTCCAACAATCAGGCTGAAGATAGAAAACAAACAAAAGCAAGGCAGAAAAAGTACGCGCACTGTCTGGTTACATCCATATAAACACCTAGAAAATATAGACTAATACACTGTGACAGAAAAAAAGACTAGCCGCCGCCTCAGGACTGGAGATGGGAGGGAGCATTCTGGGTGTGCACGGAAATTTGACCATGATGGGTTTTCTCTATCGGAACAGAATAGCAGCTATGGTACAGATGTACCTGGTGTCAAAACTTACCAAACTGTGCATTTTTAAAATGCACACAGCTCGGTACATGCCTATTGCAGCTGAATGCAGCTGCTGAACAGGTGGCATGCTCCCTAGAGGCTGCAGCTCTGGAAGGATCGAGGACCGCAGCTCTGCCTTCTCTCCCAGGATGCATCAGACTCTAGAGCGTCCTGTGAGTGTGACTGACTCTAGCCCCCACTCACCCGCACTGATCAAAATGAGCTAACGGGCTGACAAAGCTGTTCTTTGTACAAACCGCCCCAGCAGGAAACTCACCCAACCAGACCAGGACATTAGCCTTCTCACTACAACCACAAGACATGCGTGGACACTACAGCTAAGTCAGAGGCAGAGAAATCAATACACAACGGATAAATCAGATCACTGAGGGACAGCCAGACTGGCAAGGACAGAAAACAAGTATGACCTACAGAAGCACATCTTAGAATTATTTGTACTTAAGTTTTAGGTGCGCATTATAAAACTGGCAAGTAGCTTCTATTCTGAGTTGAAAACTGGAGTTGAGGTGAAATAATCGAGTGCTCACAGGCATTATGGAAGAGTATAAAATAAGGAACGGAAGCACCCCCTTTTCCAAGCCCTCCTAGGAGGGGGGACAGAAGGGTGGTGTGACAGTGATGTTTGGTCCAATGTGCAACTGCTCTCAGTGTTATCAGTCAAGGCCATCTAAGGCCTGCCACTCCCTGAAAGTCACCAAACTCTGACCATTAAAAACACCATTGCTGAGACAGTTCAGGGAGAAAGTGCTTACCACTTGCAAGCCTGAGGACCCAGGTCTGAGTCCTAGACCGGGCCCTGCTCCACCCCTAGCTGGACATGACAGTCTGAATCTGTAACCCTTGTAGTCCTCTGCCAAGACAGGAGGTAGAGTCAGAGAACTGCCTGAAGTCCGTGGGCCAGCTGGCCGGGAGTGCTCAGCTAGCGGGGAGTGCTCAGCTGGCCGGGAGTGCTCAGCTGGCCGGGAGGGCTCAGCTTAGAAGAGACTCTGCTCCAACAAAGTGGAAGGAGAGAACTGACTCCCCAGAGCATCCTCTGGCCTCTACACATGAACCTGCACTCAGCATAAACTTTATTATTACTAATAAACACTAACAAACAACAGAAATAATACATAGAAAATATTAGCAAAATCAATAATAAATAAAAATGATAAATAAATCCTATAACATACGTACCATAAAAATTTTCCAGACACAGTAAATAGAGAAAAAGTAACCCAGGAAATTGAAATACTTCCCCTTGAATGTTTTGGAGTATTCAATTCTTTCCTGGGAAAACAAAACACAAAACATGGTTTTGACAAGAGGCAAACATTCCAACAAAAGCATTCCCAAGCCTGCGACTCACTGTTGAGGCTGAGTCAAATGGTACACACGGTAGCAACAGTCAGTGACGTTACCAGGGGCAACCTGGGCTGGGCACTACCTGTCAGCCAGAGCTCCACAACCCTTGGGAGATATGGTCTAGGCCCTTCATCTTACAGATGGGAAACTGAGTCCTAGAGGTTAAACAACTTGCCCAGGGTCAGGCGGTGAGTGGGCTCAGGCCGTGCTGGCAACCCTCGGCCCTTAGAGCCACCCTGGAAGCGGCCCTCAGAGAAGCTTAGGATCGTTTGCAACCTTAAGTCTGTGTATTTCAACCACCCTGCATTTTCGGTGTGCCTTGGGAAGTCCCAGTAACACAGGCACCCATCACTCTTGTGACGGGGCTAATTTGTGAGGCAGGAAGAAGAACTGCGGCGGCCATCTTTATCCCTGGCCAGAGCAGGAAGTGGAAGGGGCCAGCCTCAGGGGTATTGAAGTCTCCCCTATCCCTCCAATTCTTTTGTTGCAAGGGTTCCAGGAATGATTTTGCCATCCCAGGAGAGATTTCCTACACATAAGCCCTCTTATCTAACGCCACTCAGCTTACTCAGGAGCACTGCCTGTTCACAGAGGACTCTGACAAGCCAGGAGGTCTTATCCTCTCTTCAACCGTGTGGTAGAACCATAGCTGTACCCTTGCTCTGTACCTTAGTAGCATACAGGTCAGCTGTTTCCAGGAAAAGCTGCCTGCTTAGTTCTTCCAGAGCATCTACTTCCTGTTGAATAAGAGTCAGATCTGGTGGAAAGTGGGCATCAAGGGTTAAACCACTGAGAAACTTCAGAAAACAGCGGAAGGAAAGGGCTCGCTTTGGCTGTTCTAGAGGGCGGACGCTGGGAACTGCCAGTGTCTGGAATTTCCCACCTCAGCCAGTAGTGCTCCAGGGTAGTGCTCCAGCTCGACAGTGGGGGTGAAGGAGCACCCCACAGATGTCTGGTTTCTCAGGGTAGTGCTCCGGCCCGACAGTGGGGGTGAAGGAGCACCCAGACATCTGGTTTCTCAGACAGATGCTCTCCTGAGCTTGGTGTTTGCTCAATCCCTGAGGCCTCAAATGGAGCACAGCACCAAGACCTATGATGCAGCAACTCTACGCCATCTGAGCAGTCTGTGCTGGGAGTGCGTGGCTCAGTGGCACGGAGTCACCAGGCTGGCTTTCCTCACTGCCTTCTTTAGCTCTTCCAGAAGCTACCTTCTTTACCCCCCACATTCCCACAGGACAGTTGCTACCCATCTCCCAGACAAGGAAAGAGGCTCCAATCATACACCCAGGCATGGCTGCTAGGGTCACTCGCCACCAGGTGGGCCTGCCCTTTCCACCGCCAGATGTTGTCTTCCACACCTGGGGAGCAGTGTCACTGTTAAAGAAACAGGCGCCCAGAGAGCTAACGCCACCTTCATAAGCTTGTTAACATATTTATTAACCTACACTTTGGTTTTTCTGAGTTTTAAAGTAATGAAGATATTAAGTCCTTCATTACTTTAAGATATAAAGATAGTAATTCAAAGCTTCCTTCCTTTGTGAAATCAAAAGTGCCCTTTCGTTCCCCCCCTCACCAGGGGCTACTAGCAAGGCCTACGGCCCTCAAAGAAAGAGTGGAACAGTCACAGTCTGTCTCCCTTGAGAAGGGAGAGAGTTCCTTGAGGTTCGACTCATTGTTCTATCACTTAGCACTGTCTAGAAACAGACACAAAACAAATGCTTCAGGATTGCTTTTCTTTTTTAAAAACAAATTGATTTTACTTTTAGTTATTTGTATGGGGGAGGTGGGGTATGCCTATGAGCGCAGGTGCCCTCAGAAGGCAGAGCTGGGGGATCTCCCCAGAAACACAGTTCCAGGTGGCTATGGGTCACCTGATGTGGGTGCTAGAAACTGAACCCAAGCCTCTGCAAGAGCAGTGCACTGTCTTAGCCACGGAGCCATCTCTCCAGACCCGATTACTCGCTTTCTTTCTGCCACAGTCGCCTGGCTTCCTGTCTGGTTCTTATCTGCAGCCACATCAGAACCGTGTGGCACGGTCTATCTCAACGGCCTGCATGGGTAAGAAATGGACCCCTGCCACCACATGAATGTACCACCCGCTGCTGCAGGGAGCCACTGTGCTCTGTGGTCTTGCAGCAATGTGACACGGAACAGCAGAGCAGAACAAGTTATGGAGGTGAGAACACGGTTCCGCTCCTACATTTGCCACAAACCTCTCCGGGGCTGTTCTCATGTGTAAAATGGCAAGAATGACCTTCCAGGTCCCCTCCAGCTCAGAGGCTGCCTCTGTGGTTAGGTACCCAGGTACTTCCTATGCCCAGTGCTGGCTAGACAGGACCCTGACGCATCGGGCTCCCTAGAGGGGTCTGACCTAGCACTAGGCTTTTTCTGCACCTGGTGCAGAGAGGAGAAAAGTCAGAGGGGATAAAGGATACTTTCGCTTCCTGGGGCTGATGCAGTCACGCTCTTCAGCATGCCCCAGAGTCCTGACGGCTTGTTTTGCACCTCCCCCCTCTGGAACATGGTTCTCCGTGCCACGGCCATCCTGAAAAGAGGAAAGCAGAGGCTGAGTGAAGAAGTGTGCCTCAGCCTCGTCCTATCCACCTTTCCACGCCACAGTTGTGTGTCTGCTGCTTCAGGACTTACGAGGGAGAGGACACTCCCAGCGGTGATGTGGCTTGGTCCAGAGGCACAGAATGTGGAGGAAGCAATATCTAAGGACCAGCTCTGCCACTTGAAAGCTGGAAGACCTACAGCTTCCTTCCCCACTCTGGATGGTTGTACAGACTAATAACAGCCAGCCTCGTCCTCGCTGTATGTTAGTATCAATTAAGGAACAAAAGACAGCTAACAGATCTAGATACAGAACCAGGCAGAGGAGGACAAAAGGAAAGGCCGATGACAGAGAGGAAAAAGGAAGATCACATAAACAGGGCCTCATGGCTCTCTGAGTCCACCTCTTTCCATGACTGTTACCCAAGCCACGGCTGGATGAAGTGACATAATGACACCACTCCCTCCACCCCTCCTCATCTGTGGAGGACTCGGTGGCCCAGTGCCAGCTGCCGGCAAGTTCTAATCTGCTCAGAGGCAATAAGAACAAGGTCCCGTGAGATCAGAAAACATACAAACGATTGCAGAGTACAACGGGCCCAAAGTCAGCCAGGGTGGATCTAGTATAGATAGGAAGGAGGCCACAGAGAAATTCAGGGAGGACATTTCCGGGTGACGAGAGGTAAAAATGGTGAGGAGAAGGCACTGGCATTGGTTTCACGTCTGGGACTCCTACAAATGGCACCAGGGGATCAAGGGCTAGGTGGCATTTCTGTGGGCTAAATTTTTAAAGTCTCAGGTAAAAGCCATTCACAACAATGGCTGCTGGAAGAGCTTCCTCCTCAGCGAGCTCTGCCTGGGTGCTGGAAGAATGAACTAGCCCAAGCTTGGGCTTTCTGCCTTTCCTGACATATTCTCCACAACTTGGCATGCTGGGAAGACATAAAAAGGAACCAGCGAAGGCTTAGACCCACGATTCGTCAGCTCTAATGGGAGCGTGGGACTGGGCTCTGCAGTTCACAGTTTACTTGGGCTCAGCACCTGGGGTGAGCGGCAAGGCAGCTGGAAGAGGGAGCACAGAAGCCATTTCTGTTGTCCCTTCAACATGGAAAGCTGTGCTGTGGCGCTGGCTGCCTATGTGAAGGTGACGGACACCATGCTGTGCACTCTCAGCAGACAGACAAACGGAATAACCAGACGTGAAAGTTGGCTGTAGGCAGAGAGGTACCCCCAGTTTTAGACAATTCACTTCTACTTTTGGTTTTAATCACCTAATTCTAATCCCATTTTGCTCTTGGCAAATAAGTTGCAGACAAAAATAAACATACACTTAAGAAGAGAAGGTGAACAGGATCAAACTTTCTGAGATGTGCTTTTCCAATGTATTTGAACAAACACACAAGCACCGTAGCCATTTTTACCTTCAGATTTCCCACTGCCTCCCTTTGTAAGGTCATCTTGTAACAAGAAAGAAGCTATTTACTATGGGTCAGATGCCGTTTAAAAATTCCTCATAGGAAAACCATAAGCAGGTAGGTGGCTGAGGTCTGGCACAAGCATGAATGAGAAGATCTGAAAAATGTCTACTCCGTTCTTTAGAGAATATCAAACACATCATGAAAATCCACATCATCCTTGTTATGTGCAGGGCCATGCTAATTCTGCCCACTCCAATTTTAGCACACGTGTTGTTGATGCAAGCACTCTACCCTACTTTATGTCACCCTATTGTTTTACAGTTCCCATTTCTAGTTCAGCCATTACTTCTCTTTAGTTAAAAAATTTTATTATTTGTGTGTATATCCTTCAAGTATGTGGGTTTGAGGATGGAATCATATCACCAGGTTTAGTGGCAAACACTTTTACTTGCTGAACAATCTCACTAGCCCATCAGAACTCTGAATTTTAGAAATAACATACACTCATATATGGTTTAAGTATGGGGCTATCGACACTCAAACACTTATGAATACAACATCTCCATCACTAAAGGATCTGCCCTTGGAGAGTCCACAACTCACCTACTACCAATTCCTCAGCTCCTGGAAATGTCCTCCAATTCTTCAGTTTTGTCATTTCTGGAACGTGCATATGACTAGGATGGAGCAGTGTCTGTCCTATGGAGAA